TTATTATCTGTTATTATATGTGCTCCTGAAGTGAACACTCTTTTATCTATGATGCTTATGTAATCTATTATATCATATCTATGTGGTAGTTCTCGTAAATTCTTGTACTAGGAATTTTTATTTGCTGTTTCATGTTTGTTACTGAATTGTGAGAATCCAGTTGTGATTTTTAACATATCTTAGGTATATGTTAATAGGTCTAATATATACTATACATTTTATTGGTTTATTTTGAAAAAGGTGGGCATAGAATTCTTTTTTTTTTTTTTTTTTTTTTTGAGATGGGGAGTGCAATGGTGCGATCTCGGCTCACTGCAACCTCCACCTCCTGGGTTCAGGCAATTCTCCTGCCTCAGCCTCCCGAGTAGCCGGGATTACAGGCACACGCCACCATGCCCAGCTAATTTTTTGTATTTTTAGTAGAGATGGGGTTTCACCATGTTGACCAGGATGGTCTCGATCTCCTGACCTCGTGATCCACCCACCTCGGCCTCCCAAAGTGCTGGGATTATAGGCTTGAGCCACTGCACCCAGCCCCTAGAATTCTTACTGTATTTATTTTAAATAGTTTGGAAATCCTGGTATTTTGAAAAGACATTGTTCCTATAGAGTTGTGTGATGAGTGTTATAGCTGTTATATACACATAAATATAATTTTGTTTTTCTTTTAAGAGAGGATTATTTTTATCCTAAGTATTTTATCTTTAAATCTTTGTATGTATTATTACATGTGGTGGTGAAGGGATGACACTTTTTTCTCTCTTAGTATATTACCTTTATAGCTACATGGTAGTTCCCCTAAATTCCTGTAAAAATAAATTTTTATTTGATGTTAAGTGTATGTTTTTGAAATGTGAGAATTCAGACATGATTTTTTACCTCATATTGACATGTTTGTATGTTAAAGAGGATGTATGTTTTAAAGGAGGACATGCACTGTGTGTTTTCAAGAGAACAGAGCAGTGCATGTATTGGGGAAATGTAATAAAGATGAAGTTTTTTCACCTTTATAGAGTGCAATCATCTTGCTCTGGATTGCTTATTTCCTATCAAGTGACATTTTTCCTTAATGTTATTTGGAAAAATGTCCAAATATTTGGTTATTTGAACATATTTATTAGCTCTGGAAGATAATCCCGTTATTTTTCATGTAGAAAAAAACAAAGCTGTGCTCAATGCTCACATGTATAATCCCAGCACTTTTAAAGTCATGGCAGGAGGATCACTTGACACCAGGAGTTTGAGACCAACCTGACATCTATTTTTTAAAAAGAAAAAAAATAGAGAAGGCCAATCCCAAGCTTAGAGATTTTTGTTTATTTTGTTTTTTTGAGACAGAGTCTCGCTCTGTCGCTCAGGATCAAGTACAGTAGTGCAGTCTTGGCTTACTGCAACCTCCACCTCCTGTGTTCTAACCATTCTTCTGCCACAGCATCCCAAGAAGCTGGGACTACAGGTGTGTGCCACCACGGTGAGGTGTAATGTTTGTATTTTAATAGAGACAGGGTTGCACCATATTAGCCAGGCTGAACTCAAACTCTTGACCTCAAGTGATCCGCCCACCCTGGCCTTTCAAATTGCTGGGATTACAGGCATGAGCTACCATGCCCAGCCCCTAAGCTAGAGATTTAAAGCAGGAAATGAGAGAAAGACATTGAGAGAAGAAAACCAGGTGGTAAAAATACTCTAAAGGTTTTTATTTTCTAGCGTTTCTAAAGTGGCTCACACCTGGGATCCCAGGAGTTCCAGACCAGCCTGGCCAACATGGTGAAAGCCCATCTCCACTAAAAACACAAAAATTAGCCAGGAATGGTGGTGGCCACCTGCAATCCTAGCTATTCGGGAGGCCAAGGCAGGAGAAATCACTTGACCCTGGAAATTGGAGGTAGCAGTGAGCAGAGATTGTGCCTCTGCACTCCAGCCTGGGTGTCAGAGCGAGACTCTGCTTTCCAAAGAAAAAAAAAAGTTTCTGCAACATTTGAGCCATTAAAGACAGGCACTGTGCCATGCAATTTTTTTTATTTTTGGAGTTGGGGTCTTGCTCTGTCACCTATGCTGGGCTGCAGTGGTGTGGTAGCTCACTGTAGCCCCAGACTCAAGTTCAAGTGATCCTCTTACCTTGCTTCCCGAAGTGCTGGGATTACAAGCATGAGCCATCACAGCTGTCCTGTATGACAATTCTGATGTCAACTCCCTGATGTTAACATCAAATGCCACAAGTTAAGGCCACAAACCCCCATTAGATGCAAGCTGCAAGTTTGGGTGTGCTCAGATCACATGTACTTCTCACCAACTGGCTACAAATTCAGAGGTTCCCACAGTGTCCTCCGGTTTGATAATTTATAACAACTCAAAGAACTCAGAAAAGCAAGATACTTTTTGTTAGATGAAGTCTCACTGTTAAGCAAAAGTACAATGGCACAATCTCAGCTTACTGCAACCTCTGACTCCCAGGTTCAAATGATTCTCTTTGCCTCAGTCTCCCTAGTAGCTGGGATTACAGGTGAGTGCCATCATACCTGGCTAATTTTTGTATTTTTGGTAGGGTTTCGCTGTGTTGGCCAGGTTGGTCTTGAACTCCCAAACACAAGTGATCTGCCTGCCTCAACTTTCCAAAGTGCTGGGATACAGGCATGAGCTTCTGTGCCCAGCTGAGCATGATATTTCCATTACAATTTTATATAAGAAAAACTGACAAAAGTAACACCAGTCAAAAGCAGAGCCGAGAGAGTCCTGAAGATGACATTTCTGTGTCCTCAGGATGCATCATCCTCTCAGCATACTGATGTGTATCTCAAACCAGGGAAGATCACCTTAGCTTCCATGTCCAGGGGTTTTATCACAGCAGGTGGGTTTATGCAATCATTGGCCAGGCAATTGAGTCCATCTCCAGCCCCACAGTTCCTTTCTGGAGGTCGGGCTGACATTATGTGGCTCAACATCACAACCTTCAAATCACATGGTTGGTCTTTCTGGTGTGGTTGCCCCCTGGCCAAGTCATCTGGTTAGCATGCACTCAGTTGTGACCCTGGGGTGGCCACTATGAGTAACAGGCACACCTGTCATTCAAGAAATTCCATGGATTTAGAGGCTGGCTACCTCCAGGAATCAGAGACAAGACCAGAACCAACAGGGAAAAGAAGACCAGGGAAGTGTCAGAACAGCAAAGAAATAAATTCCTTTTTTTAAAAATTTTGTGTAAATGAACAAAGACACAAGGTCACACTTCCCCCAACCCCCACCCTCCCCCAAAACAGGACCCTACAAGAACAGAGGAATGAGAAGCATTCTCATGGTAACATTTTTGCCACCCCGCCCCCCTTCCGATTTCTTTCCAAAGACTCAAGCTTCACAACACAGACACACAGAGCAGGCTTGGGTGAGGACAGACACTCAGGGAATCTCTGACCAGCAAAAGAGTTCTGGGTGTTTGCTTCTCCTGCCCTTTGTGTGATGCCAGCTGATGTTACAAAAACACACTTAGGCAGAGGAGGGGGCATGCAGAGCAACCTCCACTCACTTCCCTAATTTGGCCAAGCTTGGAATGAGCCAAGAGAGAAGTTGTGGTGGAGGCAACAGTTTCTGCCTCTCAGGAGAGGACCTTCCCATAATAAATTCTACTTCCCATAATAAATTCCTTTTTATATGTGTATATATAATGTATATAAAATATATATTTAATGAATTAATGTATTAAAATTTTCATATAACATAAACATTATACATATATAAATATATGTTTCTCCCTTTATTTACTTATGAGTTGAGTTGGAGTCTCACTCTGTCGCCCAGGCTGGAGTGCAGTGGCATGATCTCAGCTCACTGCAACCTCTGCCTCTTGAGTTCAAGTGATTCTCCTGCTTCAGCCTCCCCTGTTGCTGGGATTACTTTTGTTAAATTTGGCCTAAACCTGCCTCATAAACAGTGAAATGTATCCTAATTTAAGTGTGTAAACCTTTTGCTAAGGTAATGTAAAAGTAAAATTAAAGAAAATAAGGAAAAAAGAGCATAAACCTTTGTGAAAAAGCCTTTAGGCCTTGTCAGTTCCTAGAATGTATTTATTTCACTACACTGGGGACTCCATTTCCAGTGTTAAGGTCCATTTTCAGAAGACTGGGCAAGCATCAGACAGGGGGTGGGGAGGAATTATACAAACAATTGAGTCCAGACCCAAGGGGCCCCTCTGTATGGCAGGGGCACCCAACAGCCGTAACTGATGTGTTCCCTGAGAATGACTTTATGGTCTAAGAAGAACGTGTGTTCTCAGCCCCAAGCTAAGGAATCAGGAGTGGCAAGACCCCAGAAGGATGCCAGCTTATGAAACCCCAAGTCAAGAGGTCTAGCAGGGCACTTGGTTTCTCAGGTCACACACTTGGCCCTCTTCCAAGTTGTACTATCCTTCTTTCCTTTCCTTTCCTTCCTGTTCTAAAGGTTTTCAGTAAACATTTTTTTTGAGATGGCATCTCACTCTATCACCCAGACTGGTGCACAGTGGCACCATCTCAGTTCATGGCAATGGCCGCCTCTCAGGTTCAAGCAATTCTCCTGCCTCAGCCTTCTGAGTAGCTGGTCTGAGACCACTACCTCACCTGGCTAATTTTTGTATTTTTAGTGGGAATAGGGTTTCTCCATGTTGACCAGGTTGGTCTCAACCACTTCAATCTCCCAAACTGCTGGTATTACAGGCTTGAGCCGCGGCCCCGGCCTTTTTGTGTGTGTGTGTGTGTGTGTGTGTGTGTGTGTGTGTGTGAGATAAGTCTCCGGCCAGGCTGGAGTGCAATGGCATGATCTTGGCTCACTGCAACCTTCGCCTCCCAGGTTCAAGCGATTCTCCAGCCTCAGCCTCTCTACTAGCTGGGATTACAGGTGCCCGCCAGGACACCCAGCTATTTATTGATTTTTTTAGTAGAGATGGTTTTCGCCATGTTGGCCAGACTGGCCTCAAGTGATCCACCAACCTCTGCCTCCCAGAGTTCTGGGATTACAGGCGAGGGCCACCGATGCACCTGGCAGGCATGGAAGAGGTTCCCTTGGGTCCTGCTCAGAGGAGTTACGCTGGGGAAAGCAAGTGGAGGTGCTCCTTGAAGAAAATAGGGAATCTCACATCTCAGGGGTTCTGTCCTGGCCTGCCGCGTCCAGCCTGGGTCGGGGTGGGAAGACCTTGCCCTTCTTGACTGGGTTTGAGTGTGAGTGTCCCATTTCGCCAAGGCCTAGCCCGCGGTTCCCAGTCCCTGGCACCACCCAGCAGCTCCCGGCTCCCCCTCCCCTCCAGACCTGGCACTCGCCCTCAACCAAAATGGCGCCGACGGCCTCAGTACGTCAAGCGACGTGCCCGCCGGCCTCCTCCCGCGCTTCTTTTATCCCCGCAGCCAGAAGCCGAGCAGCAGAGCGGAAAGCCTGACTTTGGGGTCCGCGGTGGTTTAGGCAGCGCCAGGGCTGTTGTGTGGCTGCACGGTGGTGCTGCAGGGCGGGATGCTGTACCCCCGGGAGAGCCCGTCATGGAAGTGCAAGGAGCTGGACAGCCCCTGGAGCTTCCGCGCCGACTTCTCCGACGACCGGCGCCGGGGCTTCCAGGAGCGGTGGTAGCGGCCGCTGCTGCGGTACTTAGGGCAGGGCCGAGAGGCCGCAGGCTCCTTTCCCTTGTGGCCCGGGGGTTGGGGGCCCAGAGGAGGTTAAAGGTCAGTGGGCTTGGGAGCGCTGGGTTGGAGGAGTGGGGCAGGGAGGGGACCCAGGAGGACTGCTGCGGAGGAGGAGGAAGCGCCCCTGCCGAGCCCCCTCCCGAGGCGAAGGCTGAGCCCGGGCAGTGTCCTTTTTTTTAATGTTTGTTTTTAATTTTTAAAATATTTTTTGAGACTGGGCTTGGCCCTGTTGCCCAGGCTGGAGCGCAGTGGCGCAATCCTAACTTCTGAGCTCAAGCGATCCTCCTGCCGCAGCCTTGCAAGTTAGCTAGGGGGCTCCACGCCTGGCTAATTAAAAAAAATTTTTCTTTTAGATATAGGGTCTCACTACTTTGCCCAGGCTGGTTTCGAACTCCTGGCCTCAAGCCATCGTTTTATGTTGACCTTCCAAAGCACTGATTACCGGCATGAGCCACCCAAACACTCCTCCCAGTAGTCGGGCCAGAGCCTCTTGGGCTGCACAGAGCTGGACCTGAGGATGGGGAGGAGGAGACAGTTTAAACATCCTGAGGTCAGCTCTGCAAAGAAGCCAGGAATGTAACTTGGTCCCAGATCTGTTTGGGGGCCTAGGAGCTGAGCTCCACCCTTCTCTCCACAGTTTGGCCCCACCCTGGACATGCAGGTTCTCTCCAGCTTCAAGAACATCTGCCAGGACTCGCGGCTATGGCATTTTTGTCAGCTGGGTGTGGCACAAATGGGATGTGACCTTGCCAGAGTGGTGGACCCAGGACCTGCAGAGAAGAGTGGTGCTGAGGATTGGCAGTGCCCACTCCTATGCCATTCTGGTGAGTGCAGCCAGGAGCACGTAGGGCAGGTGGGTGGGTGTGGCTGCTGAACAGCATGGGAGTCCCAGGTGCCACCCACAGCCTGTCTCCTGGGTTGGAACGGTGAGGGGCCCTTCCTTGCTTGCTCTGCTCTGGAGGCTGTTCCCTGTGTAGGGGGATAGGTGACCTAGTCTACCCCATTGGGATGCCATTCTTCCCGTCTGGCTGGCAGGCCTCAGCTCTATGCTGCAAGTTATGAGGGAGTGCCCAATAACATGGCCCCTCCTCATGCACTGACCTGCCACCCCCTCCCCATATCTCCAGTGTCTGTGATGGGTGAACGGGGTCGATGTGCTAGAGCATGGGGGTTTACCTCCCCTTCAAGGCCAACATCAGCAGCCTGGTCCAGGTGGGGCCCCTGCCCTCCCACCTCCCCGTCACTATTGCCATCAACGACACACTCCCTCCATCCAGCCACCAGGGATCATCTGCTACATGACTGACACCTGCAAGTGGCTACCATCCTGCCTCCACCACATGCCCCACCTCCCCACCCCACCCCATAGTCTTCCTGCTAGGGACAGATTTGCCTTCACAGAATGGACGGGCCTGGATCTGGGGAGGCCACAGACATGTGGGCTGAGGTTCCCACCCTGGATATCCCAAGGGTTACTTTGTCCACAACACAGACTTTGACTTCAGCCCGGCGGGACTGCAGCGGTCTGTGCTTCTGTTCACGACACTCACCACCTGCATTGATGACATCACCATCACCATCACCACCAGCGTGGAGCAAGACAGTGGCGAGAGCTTCCAGTAGGATCCTTTCTCAGCGGGGCCCAGGGTGGCTCTGTTTGTTCCCTGTTTGGAAAGCTCTCCCAGGAAAAAGGTTCTCCCAGCATCTCTAAACCCTCCCAGGTTCCCATCCACCTACAAAGCTCAAATCCAGACTGTCTGAGCGGGCACCGGCTCCCAAAATCACCTGTGTGGTTGACCTCATTTGGAGAAGAGGGGTCTTCTTGCCTATGGTCACACAGCTCAGGGTGGCAATCCTGTCCCTTTCCCATGGAGCTACCCTCACTCCAGCTCCCCTTGGTACACATTGTGCTAGGCAGCTTACCAGGTACTCCCTGTGGCCCAAGGCCCCTCCCTGTGGCCCCAGGCTCCCACCAAATCCCTGAGCAAATAGTGCAGTGTTGCCAGTCTGTGGTTTCATGTTGAACTAATTAAATACTCAAGTGCTGTTTAACTGTGTGCCTCTCTCCATCCTTTAATGACCCCTGATGCCCACATGTCTCATGAGTGAAGATGTCCCCACCCCAGATGCCCCTTCCCAAGGTGTGCTTTCAGGACTCAGCCCCTAGACAGGGACAGTCAGCCATTAGGGATAGGGTGGGACCAGGGCAGGGGCTCTCCTGACTCCTGATACCTGTTCGCCTGCCCCCCAGCGTTACTGCCACCTGCTATAGGTGACTGAGAAGTGGGCCTAGGGCACCTTCAGACTCAACCCCAATGATGAGGACATCCACACAGCCAGCGAGCACCACCTGAAGGTAAGATCCCTGCAGCCCCACTGCTTTCCTGGCCTCCCGTCTTCACCTCTTGGAGCATTAGCACCATTGTTCCATTTACTTCACCATTGGCAGACAGCAGTGATGATCTCAGGACATGGCCAGTTGCAGTGGCTCATGCCTATAATCCTAGCACTTTGGGAGGCTCTGGTGGAAGGATCACTTGAGGCCAAGAGTTTGCATGGGCAACATAACAAGGTTTCATAACTACAAAAAATTGAAAGAAAAAAATGAACAACAGGGCTAAGCAGAATTGGTGAGAGATTTGGGCAAGACCTGGGGCCCTTGGGTAGGGAGGGAGGTTGGAAGGGCTGATGAAAGCTGCCCTGCCTGGATTGACTCCTCTGGGCATCTAGACTGTGACCCTGGGCCTCCCTTCACTTCCAAGAGCTCATTAGCAAAACTGCTGGGAAGCTGCACACGGGATGCAGCTGGAATGACCAGGTGCCTCTAGCCCCTCCAACCCCCTGCTTTTTGCTGTCCCAATGTTGGGGAGCCCAGGGGGCAGTTAGAGCTCAGGTCCTGGCTCCCCAGGGAAGCAGCTCATCAGCCTCCCTGAGCATCACCTCCTGCTTGCACAGGTGGTCATGGAGCTTAGACTATGGATGTGGCAGACCTGCTCGATGCTCTCCGGCCTCTTGTGGGAGCCCATCAGGACCATGGTGGATCCCACAGAGGTGTGAGTCCCAAGGCACACCCAGGGGTTAGAGAGAGGTGTGATGGCATCCTGAACAGCAGACTAGGTGGCAGGGACAAACAGGGTGGAGATGCCAGGCCCTGGGGGACGGGTATTACAGAACGCCGAGATTGAGGCAGAACAGCCAGGAGTGGGGCATTTCCTGCAGTCCCCAATACTCCCGTGGCAGTCTAGCTTATCAGGCAGGGAAGAGTCACCCTTCGTGGGGCCTGGTGTGGTGGCTCCTGACTGTAATTCCAGCACTTTGGGAGGCAGAGGCCGGTGGATCACCTGAGGTCAGGAGTTCACGACCAGCCTGGCTAACATGGTGAAACCCTGGACGTGGTGGTGTGCACCTGTAATCACAGCTACTTGGGAGGCTGAGGCAGGAGAATCCCTTGAACCCAAAAGGCGGAGATTGCAGTGAGCTGTGATTGCATCACTGCACTTCGGCCTAGGAGACAGAGTGAGACTCCACCTCAAAAACTAAAAAATAAAAAGGAAGAGAACTCATCCTTTGCAGATTTGAGGGAAGGAAACTAAGGCACTAGCTTGGCTGTGCCTGGAGCAGCAAGAGTCTCTCCCCACTCTGCCTGTGTCCCACGTCTCCCGCATTATGTGTCCCCACCCAGCCCATCTGGTGAAAGGCAGAGGCAAAGGCTGCCTCCTGCTGGCCTCATTCCCAGGCTTTGGCTTCTGGGACCTGGTGTCTTTGGGTCTGGATTTGTTCCTTGTAGACCTGGAGGAGGAGCTGCTGGGGAGTCTCCACGTGTTGTCAGAGACCCCTCCTCTTGGTCAGCTCCCTGTGACCTCAGACTGGGAGGGAAATAAGGGCACACAATTGTGACCATGGAGGTGGCGCAAGGCTGCTAGGAGGAACGGAGTGTCTGCTACAGAACTCAGGGTTTCTTTCATTTACTTTTTTTTTTTTTGAGACAGGGTCTTGCTCTATCACCTAGTCTGGAGTGCAGTGGTGGGATCTCTCCTACCTGCAAACTTTGCCTCCCTGGATCAAGTGATTCTCCTACCTCAGCCTCCCAAGTAGCTGGGATTACAGGTATGTGTACCACATGCAGCTAATTTTTGTATTTTTTTCAGTAGAGATGGATTTTACCATGTTGGCCAGGCTGATCTCTTGAACTCCTGAGCTCAGGTGATCTGCCCACCTCAGCCTGCCAGAGTGCTGGGATTATAGGCATAAGCCACTGCATCCAGCCTAATTTTAAAATTTTTAACTTTTTTTTTTTTTGAGATAGAGTTTTGCTCTTGTCACCCAGGCTGAAGTGCAATGGCACTCGGCTCAGATTCAAGCAATTCTCCTGCCTCAGTCTCCACAGTAGCTGGAACTACAGGTATGTGCCACACCCAGCTAATTTTTGTATTTTTTAGTAGAGACAGGGTATTACCATGTGGCCAGGATGTTCTCAATCTCCTGATCTTGTGGTCCATCCACGTTGACCTCCCAAAGTGCTGGCATTACAGGCGTGAGCAACCACACCCGGCCAAATTTTCTCTGTTTGTCTTTAGAGATGAGCTCTTGCTCTGTCACCTAGGCTGGAGTGCAGTGGCTCAGTAATAGTTCACTGCAGCCTTAAACTCCTGGACTCAAATGATCTTCCCACCTCAGCTTTCTGAGTAGGTAAGACCGCAGGTGTGCACCACACCCTGCAAAGTTTCTACATTTTTTTTGTAGTAACGGGTTTTCACTATGTGGTGCGGTCTGGTTGAAGTCCCAGCCTCAAGTGATCCTACCATCTTGGCCTCCCAAAGTGCTGGAATTACAGCCTGGCCTTGAGTACAGAATTTCCTTAGGGGGTGACGAAAATGCTCTAAAATCGGTGATGGGTGTGCACTAAAGTGTGAGTGATATCTCAGCAAAGTTGGTTTATTTAAAACAACAACAGGCTGGACGAAGTGGTTCATGCCTGTAATCCCAGCACTTTGGGAGGCCAAGGTGGGTGGATCATCTGAGGTCAGGAGCTTGAGACCAGCCTGGCCAACATGATGAACCCCTGTTTCTATTAAAAGTATGAAAAATTAGTAACTTGAATGAGGGGCAGGGTATCCCACCTGCTCCGAGTAGCACTTTATGAGCCCCAGTTATTTCTGGGGTCCTCAAATGAAACCTCCCAAGTCATACCCAAGTCATACCCAACATGTGCCTCCTCCCCTTTTCTAGCCCCGGCTGGGAGATGCTGAGTGATAGAGGCTCAGGCTTTGGGTGTTCCTGGCAAAGCCTCACCCCAGGAGCCCCACAGCTCAGGCCCAGGGTTCACATGGCCCCATTTCGTCCTCTTTTTCCCTTGAGAGCAATTTGTCCCTGGGAGATCCTGGATCCCTCATTCAGGTGCAGTGCTGTAGGGCAACACTTTTTCCTGGGGTGACCCAGGCCTGCAGTGTCCCAGTGTCACTGGCAGGCCTTGACCTGGCCTCCACCTAAGCCCCTGCTCCTCCTCTCCCACAGGGAACATGACATCCTCTTCCTAGGTTACACCCACCTGCAGAGGGCCCAGCCCCATCACTGGAGCCACTGGATTCTGAGGTGAGCTGGGTGAGTTGCTGGGGCTGTACTGGATGGGAGGACCCTGGCTGTCCTGACCCTCCTGCCCCTGGCTTTCCACAATGGTGCCATGGTGCTGACCCTAGACTCTGAGCAGCTGCTGGAGGTTCGGAAGCTGATTGGTGTCCTGCCCCTGGGGAGGTGGGTGAAACTCCAGTGCCCTAAGGGCCTGGTGGGTGTGGCTGCTGCATAGCCCAGGGATTCATGGGAAGGGCAGAGAGAGTTAGAAAATCAGGTTATCTGCTCAGAGGGGGACCCTGCATGGATTCCCAGGTCTTGCTAAGGTGGGGACGTCCAAGCCAGTGAATGTGTCTGAGCAGGGCTGGCCTTAGCGTAACACACTTAGCGTAATCCAAACTATGGGGAAATGACCTGATTTATTCAATAAATGGACTACAAGGGACAGCACAGAGATCAAAGTGGGAAGTTGGTCAGGATCAAGAAAATCCTAAGAGGTGAATCAAACAATCCCAAGGAGAGACTTTATTTGGATCCTGATTCACACAATAAATACATGAAATGACTGGAAATTTGGAGCTAGAAGGAGAGTTGACAGTGATAAAGAGCAATGGTGTGAGATGGTTGATGATGGTATTGGGATTATTATATTTTTTAAAGAGTTCTTGTCTCCGGGCACGGCGCTTCACACCTATAATCTCAGTAGTGTCGGAGGTCAAGATGGGAAGATCCTTTGAATCCAGGAATTCTAGACCAGCCTGGGCAACATAGCAAGACCCTGTGTCTACTAAAATACAAATTAAAAAATTAGCTTGGCATGGTGGTGTGAGTCTGTAGTTGCAGCTACTCAGGAAGCTGAGGCAGGAGAGGCCACAGTGAACCAAGATCATGCCACTGAACTTCAGCCTGGTTGACAGAGACCTTGTCTTGAAAGAACAAACAAGAATTGTATCTTTTACAGACATATACCAAGAGAGTCAGGGAGGAAATTATATGATGTGTGGGATTTGCTATAAAATCCTGAGAGGGGGAGGAGAAGCATGTAGGAGTATACATGTAACGAGATTGGCCATCAGATAACAAGTATCTGAATCTGCTGCCGAGTAGGTGAAAGTCACCACACTAGCCTCTTGTTCCAAAAAGCTCGAATAGAAAGTTTGTGTAAAAATCCACTTCATGGATTTGTAACAAGCATTGAATAAGATCGTGTATACAGAGTGTTTTATCACCATGGCTTGAGCACACAAACATTGTTTTTAGTTTTGTATAGTCCCTGTCCATTAATCACACCCACAAAAGATATGTTGTTCACACCAAGAGCTCTGGCCCATGGACCTTTGTCCACTTGGTGGTAATTTATTGGAATTTGAGGTTTAGAATGAGGAAATACCAGCCTTCAAAGCCCCAAGCCTACTATGAAATAGCAAAGCCAATGGTCCCAGATGCCTTCGTAGCACACCTAGTAAGTAGGACCATTTTTCTCTCACCTTGTAGGCACACTTGAGTTCATTCACTCATTTTTCATTCATTTCTTATATGCCATGTATTGGGTACTAGGGATCCGTAATACAGTTGGCCCCTAATTGAATGGAAGCATCACTTTCAAAGTATCATTGCAGGATGAGTATTTTGTGTCAAGTGGATTCAAGGGACAGTGCGAAGGATCCATGGCCTCAGTCATGAAGACTCTCCCAAGAGCCAACCGTCCTGGGCACATATAAATGAGTGGGTGGAGACATGGAACTCACCCTTACAAGGCCTAGAACTTGACAGAGCATACAAGACAGAAGCCCAAATAACCAAGAACAGGAAGCTGAAGGTGAGAGGTGGGCCCCAAAGGATTCTGTGAAAATGCTGTGTGTTTGTGAATTTATCATGCCGAATGAAACCTTTGTTTTTATTCACAGGTTAGATACACTCTATATATAGAATCTATGAAGGGACATTTCTGGGTTTTTTGAGGCCTATGGTGAAAAATGGAGTATCTCAGGCCACTCAGGATGAATAATGCAGTCACCGAGAGGGGCAGGGTGGCCACAGATGGCCAGCAGCAGGGATGGGCATTGTGAGCCTTTGGGTGGGGTTGTGGGAAGTGGCATTGTGAGCCACTGGCCTGACTTTGTTGTTTCCTGGTAACCAGGTGACATAGGTGGCTTTGTGGGTAACAGGCATCAGCCAGGGCCAGCAGCCTTCAGTCAGAAGCTGATGGAGGAGGAGGAGCTCCGACTATTCTCCCTTGTGGCTTGCTCTGTTGCAGCACTTTGGGAGGTCAAAGCAGGTGGACCGCTTGAGTCCAGGAGTTAGAGACCAGCCTGGACAACATGTTGAAACCCCATCTCTACAAAAAAAATACAAATTAGGCACAGTGGTGGATGCATATAGTTCCAGTTACTCAGGAGGCTGAAGTAAGAAGATGGCTTTAGTGTGGGACGTGAAGATTGCAGAAAGCTGACATCACAACACTGCACTTCAGTCTTGGCAACAGAGTGAGACTCTATCTGAAAAAAATTGTATACTTTATTGAATCATTTATATATGATTGTTATTTTTGATTACATATTGTTTAGTTCACTACTTTAAAGCCTGCTTTATTATTTCTTAATTTTATTGACTCATTTGTGCCTTAGTCTGTTTCATTACAAATTATTGTTTAGTCACTACCTTGGAGCCTGTTTTCTTTTTTAAAAAATTTTATTACACTTTAAGTTATGGGGTACTTGCAGGATTGTTGCATAGGTACACACATGCCATGGTGGTTTGATGCCTCCATGTCCCCATTACCTACATCAGGAATTTCTCTTAATGTTATACCTTCCCAACCTGTCCACCCCCAACTATCCCTTCCTTAGTCCCACACCCCCCAACAGACCCCAGTGTGTGATGTTCCCCTCTCTTGTGTTCATGTGTTCTCATTCTTCAACACCTACTTAGGACAGAACATGTGGTGGTTGGTTTTCTTTCCTTGTGTCAATTTGCCGAGAATGATGGTTTCCAGATTCATCCATGTCCCTGCAAAGGACATGAACTCACCCTTTCTTAAGACTGCATACTATCCCATAGTGTATATGTGCCACATATTCTTTATTCAGTCTATTATTATTAATTGGCATTTGGGTTGGTTCCAAGTCTTTGCTATTGTAAACAGTGCTGCAATGAACATATGTGTACATGTGTCTTTGCACTAGTCCTCTCGTGTAACTCTCCAGCGGCTCCTGCCTGTGGTAGACACCTTTCCAGGCCAAGCATTGGCTTTTTGGCTTCCTATTTCAGCTCAGAACATTTTCAAGTCAGCCTCTCTGGTCTCAGCTCTTCCTCCTGGCTGCATCTACAGGCCCAACTCCTGCCTCACAACAACATTTGGCCCAGCTCCTGCTCAGCTTCTAGCAGTCTGTGTAGGCTCCAGCCTTCCTCAAGTTGGGCTTTCCAGGCCCACCTTTGGCCTCCCAGTGGCCTGGACAGACCCACCTCCTGCCTACCAACAGGTAGGCCCAGCTCTTACCCTTGATGTTGGCCTCCCCAGGCCATTTCTGCCTGCCTGCGTGCCTGCCTCATGGCAGCTCCTGGCTCTCTGATGGCCTCTTTAGGCACA